TTTTTATCTTTTAGTTTTCAGGCACGCTGTGTCCCTGCTCTGTGCCATACTGTGGCTTCTGCAACCTCAAAAGGGCCCTCAAAAGGGAAGTGGTGAGTGGCAGCTAGGGATGGAGGCGAAGTCTGGAGTGCCCTTTGCTGACAGCATGGATATCTGCCTGATAAAGCTACATAAGATAATAATTAAAGGAACAAGAAACAGGGACTTACAGCAAAATGGTGGATCCAAAATTTGACTTTTAGTTAGCTCCGTAGTGCTGTGTCAGCTTCTGTCAAAGTTTGCGTCTTGCTTTTCTGCCTTGCAGAACATATTTTGAAGGATTCCTATTTGTGTATTTACTAAGTGGGTGTTAGACCTGTTGCATGAGCTGAGCAGAAAGGGACTAAAACAGCCAAGGAGCCAAATGCTGAGACGAATTCTGGCTTGGTGCTTTGGTAGCTGTGAGGCTTGAATGGGATCTGTACAACTGCTGGAAAGAAGACCCGAATGTTAAATACAAAGGCTCTGTGTTGGTGCTGTGGGCTCATCTTGGGTTTTATCACTGTCTGTGTGTGCCCAGGCAGCTGCGGGTCAGCTCTGGCTTTGTCAGAGCCAGATTAATACCGGAGCGGGCATCTATCTGTTCAGTTCTGTCAGCAAGTGTAACAGCAGTGGTAGCCAGTCCTGCATCGCTGGCTGTTGTGAGCTGGAGCAGAAAACTGCTTCAGCACACAGCAACTTAATTTTGTAGGATTCAGCTTTCTTGCTGAAGCGGGCCACGTAACTGGCTAAAGATCTGTCTGCTTAGTAATTACAGAGCCTCATTTTGCTTGATTTGGTGTTCAGTTGCCAGTGCTGGTCATGTTGAAAGCTGCTCGGTGGCTGCTGTGGTCTGTTGTGTGCTCCTCTCTCCCAAGCTGCTGCTTCTCTGCCTCTGTTCCCGTTCTGTCCCAACTCTTTCCAGGAGGGCTGGTACATGTGCAGGGCTTGGCCAGGATAGCTGTAGCAGTGTTAATATTGGCTAGCTCAACACAGGTGTCATCCACCAAAAAAATGCAAATTCTTTTTTCACCTACATTAAGAAAAACCCCAAACAATTCGATAGAAAGATAAGAATTTTCATGGGGGAAAAAACGAAAGCAGTATTTTACCTCCATAAACAAAAGAAAACCCCAGTGTCTCATAAATGTTTCTCACTGGCTGAAGTATTGGATATGCTGCTACCGTGGTAGATGCATATTCCACCCCTGGCAAAAGTAAAGGGGAGATCTTTGTTCTGACAGTCACATAACAGACCACTCAACTATGTAAGTTTAACATGTCCATCATATAAACAAGCGTGGCCAGCTCTTTGCAACTAAGTAAAAGGATTATTACAGCCCTTTCCTAAAAATTTCCTTTAGCTTTACTCTTCTTTTTTTTTTAGTTCTTTCTATTTCTTTAAGTGACAAAGCCTGGCCGTTTTGAGTCCCTTGTCTGCCCACTAAGACATATAAATAATTTCCTTTATTACCACAGTTCTGCTTTGAATGGAGTCTCTTGATACAGTGCCTTTATGTGGATTTGATCAAGTCTTTGCCTTTAATCTGCCTGGGATTATTAATTCTCTGTTATAATTAATGGAGGCTTTGTCTTTCTCCTGCAGTCTCCATCAAAAGATCTCAGAGCCTTTGGTCAATGTTACACAATTAGTAATGCAGTAGCAGACTGGCGAGTTGTGTGTGTGGTTTGTCTCTAGAAGAGAAACAAAGAGTCTCAGTCTATCAGCAGACACTATATTTGGGGCTGGTTTTGAAAACTTTCAGTACAACAGTTTTTCTTGTAAAATGCCAGTTTTTGCCAAACTTTTATTCTTAAATGCTCCTAGAAGGCTTACAGTTTTGAAGACAACTTTTCATGAAAGAGTTTTAGGTGTCAGGTGGAAATTCTGCATGTACGTGCCTGTGTGTGTTGGTCTGTGATAAGCAAACAGTGCAGCAGGTTAAGAAATAGACACTGTGGGGTCTTTACCCACCAGGGACCTGTTGCCTTCCAGTCTGACACCTCCCGTTGGAAGTGGGAGTTCCAGCAGGTATTTGATCTTTTGTGCAAAGGTTGGCTGCTTCATCAGGGGGATTGGTCTGGTGGCCACATCTCACTGAGATGGGAGTGAATGAGGGTCATGTCACTGGTCTGAATGGGGTAGAAATGGTCTTGAATATGGACTTTCTATTTTGCACATGATTTTCTGAACTTTTAGGATATGAGTTGCAGGCAGGTGAGTCACTGTCAGAAAAAGTGCAGCTGGTCATGGTTTTGTCTCTGGGAAAAGCAAGGAAACTTGGGAAGCAGTAAGACATTGCAGGCAGGAAGAGCTTCCCGTGCAGTTTGAATTACATGGTCATTGCATGTTTCCCGTCTGTGTGCTGCTCTGACCAAAGAGGATGACAGAGTTACTTGAACAAATCATCTGCATTGCAGCCAAGGGTAACAAAGCAGTCTAATAGCTTCCAAAGTTAGGGTTTAATCACGAGATGAAAGTACATCATGTAAAAGTCGTGGTCAGGCAGTGGCTGTGGAGCCAGCTTGGCACTGGTTGAATGCAAAGGAAAGCACCATATCCAGAAACCCGTGATTAGCGTCCCGACAGCTGCTGCTTTCTGCGGGGTGGGATTCAGCCTTGCAGTCAGAAATAACTTGAGCTAAAATTAAGTAGCATTTACCATCTGTTTTTGTAAGAGGCAGAGGCTTGCGGTCCGTTTTTTTAATAACAACACTGTGAACGGTAAAGACTTAAGAGGTGAACTGTGCTATCCTTGATATCTTTTAAAATTACACTAAAATTATTAAGACTGAAGGTAGAAAGGATCTATTTATTGACATCAGCTTGCCCTTTGTTATAAAAAGGAGAAAGTGGGGACTTTTCTTCTTTTTGTAGTGCTCATGCTGACTTTAAAGGCCATTTTTTGACTTGTAGGAAAACCTTGACAGCTCTTGTGGCGCTTCCAACTTTCTGCAGCTAATTGCTCCAGTTCTGTGCAGTTTGTGTGTAATCCCACGCACCGAGACAGCCTGCCTGGCTTAGAGATGTAGTGCTGTATAGCATGTGTGTATGCGATCCGCTCATTGTATTAATTTGTTTGAAAGGCCAGCACAGCTTCCAATGTGACTCAATCATGTCAACTGCTGACACTGCCAGGAAATTGTTAAAACGTCGGAGGGCTGCCAGGAACCCTTGCTGCTTTCCTGGGGACCAGTAGAGAAGTGACCTTTTACTCGTGAATTTAAATTTCTCTTTTAGGGAAATACTGAGGCTTTTTGCTGAATGCCTTGGTCACTTGCCCGTTCCTTGTTAAATTTGGGTTTTGCTAGTGCTGGCTGATAGGGTACTGAAGCGGTTCATAGGACTAGTGCTGCCTGTTAATTGAGGATCTGCTCAGAGAGATCTCCAGCCAGAAGGAGGGGAGACTATAGCAGACATCGGGGGGAAATCATAGCTAATTCTGACAGATATCTTTCCAAGGCATCATCTTTCTATGTCTGTAGTTACACCTGACTTGTCCTGTGTAAGTTCACAGCTGAGTCATTTAGACCTTCAGCAAGTTTCACGTTAAGGCTGTAACCATTTAGCACAGCCTGTGTTGCGGGTCAAGGTGGGGGCAAGCCCTTTCTGTGGGCAGGAGAGCGTTCCCTGGACGCTGGGGCTGCTCGTACGAGTTCTGCTGGCACATCTGGGGGAGACCTCTGCCCTGGCATGGCGTGGCGTGCCGGCGGGAGCGAACAAACTGGCTCGGGGCAACAGGTACAGGAAAGGTTCTGCTGGGGACCAGCCTGGACTAGGTCATGCACTCGATTTCCCACCCCTTCCTGTCTTCCTCTACTGCAGGTTTCCTCTGACCGATCTATGAAATGAAATGGTCAGGCTTTAGAGAAGGGTATTTTACACAGCTCTCATTTAGAGAGCAAAGAACTATGCCAACAACTAAGCCAGGGAAGATGTTTCCTGTGGGGAAAGGAAGGAGACCTGTGAAGGGGCAGGTGGAAAGCATGCGAGGGAGCAGTAATACCTCATGTGGGACCTACCATGACTGCAACCTGTTGTGCAAGCGCAGCTCTGCTCTGCCAGTAAAATGCCCTGTTGCATGGGTGGCTCGTTTGATGTAAGGATCTTTCAGCAAAGCCACTGTTGCTGTTACAAAGTCGAGGAGGTTGGTGTTTACCTGTTGATTAATATCCATCATCTTTTACAGTACCTTTGGGTTTGTGAAAGCGTGGCCTGAAAGCCATTCTTTGTTGTAAATTTGCATTAAAACACTTATCGGGTTCTTCTCAGAAATTTACCTGTTTCTCCATCCTGACTATTATTTTAACAGTCTCCACTTGCTTGTTGGTGGGTCCTCTGTTTTTTTCCAGCGTTGTGGCTCGGCTTCCTTTTCCTACTTCTGTTTCTTTGCACAACAGTGATAAGTGAATACCAAGGGCAGCAAGCAGGGAAAAAATCCTCAGCATTTTTTCAAGCATGGCATGAAAGGGTTCTGGAGTGCAGCAGGTGTTGGGAATACCCTGGCAAATTTATGTTCCAGAGCGCAGTTGCTTCTCTGCGTGGTGGCTATCGCTCTGTGAACCTGTGTGTTCCTGGGGCAAGCTGCCGCGGTGGGGAACCCGTCTGTGCTTTGGCCAGAGGGTGGAGGTGACTTTCTTGGGAAGCTCCTTGCAGAGAAAACACCATCTTTGAGGTGCCTGCTCTTAGGCGGCCAGCGACAGGCCAAGGCAGGCACTTGGCTCTCCGCAGAAATGGCAAGTATAGGGAAGGATTCCTGGCTGGGAGTCTGTGGCCAAGTGCTGTGACCCTCCCTCCCGGCCCCACCCCCCCCCAGCAGCTGGGAGGCTATCTTAGTGCCTCCTCCTGTGTCACCATGCCCGAATTAACGTAGGTTTGGCAGTCCCGAGGTGATAGCCCCTTATCCAGTTGCTGCCGCTCCTTCAGCGTTCAGCTGGCCCATGCGGTTCATCTGCGACCCGTTTGTGCGGCTGGGGCTGGGATGGCAGGGCTCCTGTGTAAGAGGCGCAAAAAAGGAGGTAGGAAACATTAAGTTTGTAGCGAGAGTCTCTTCCTAAGCTGTCTGCCTAGGACCTGGCATTCGGGCTGTCTGTAAGCAGGGCTCTCCCTGGGCAGCAGGCTTGGGGAGGCTTTCTGCTGACATGGATGTCCTTTGCCGGTCCTGCATCCTCTCCTCATCCAGTAGGAGAGGATGTTTTGGTCCTGTGGGATCTGGCCCAGCCGCACTGGATCTGAAGGCAAGCGTAAGGGGTTTTTGTGGCTCTTCATGTCGTGAGGGATGGGGGCTTAATACATGAATTTGTGTTAATGTTTTCTTTCGGTTTAGTAAATTGCTCAGAAACAAGATGTTTTTGTTAGGAAGAGTGGAGTTCGTTTTTATATTAAAAAAACCTACCAAACCAGTGTATCATCTTAGTTGAACTTTTGGGAATAAAACTAGTTTAGTTGCATTTGAAAGTATTCTGGCTTGAAAAATGTGCAACATTTTGTTTATATAGCATACACTGAAAGCAGTACCATATATTCACTGCCCAGAGGAGCTCAGCAGCTCTCTTCCATGTCTGCAGAGCATTGGGAACAGTGATGTCCTGACCTTATTGAACGCTTGGCATTCCCAGAATGACAGCAATGCTATAATAACAAAAAGAAGGTTACATCTAGAAACAAGGCTGGCACTTCCAAAAGGAGTCTGATTTAAGTGGAATTTGGGCATTTATGGTCCTAGCAGTGTTTTAAAAATCGTACTTGTAATGTCCAGTTTCCACACGATTTTTCTTGTGCCTCCTGGTGGCTGTATTCCCATGGGCATCACAGTGTAGGAGCTGCTTGGGTGAGAAAGCTGTAGCTGGGCGTAATGCAAACAGGCTGGGGAAGGCATGCCCTTTGAACTGTTTTGGTCTGTTGCATGAGGCCTCTTCACTCCCTGAGTTCCATTTGGAGGGTTTTCCAAGAAAATGAGAATGCGTGCAGAAAAGGTGTGATTAAGAGTTTTTTTAATAATGACATTTATTCAGGAGGTTAAATCTCAGCCTGCAGGCATTGTATTCTGTTTGCAGTCGAGAATGCTGCTCTCTTCCCTTCCCTTCCCTTTGATGAAGGTACACAATACAGAAGGCAAGCTGTGCTTCCCCCCCGGCACTGTGCTGTGTTAGCTCTAACCAGCTGCTCTAACATGGTTCATAAGCCGTAAGGTCTCAAAATACGAGACTGGTGGTTGTTGCTTGCAGAACATAAGAACAGCATTTCATCACTGAGGATTTTACTAATGTTCAGTGTCATGCTGTGAAAACATGGTTCGTAAGCCGTAAGGTCTCAAAATACGAGACTGGTGGTTGTTGCTTGCAGAACATAAGAACAGCATTTCATCACTGAGGATTTTTTTACTAATGTTCAGTGTCGTGCTGTGAACCAGAATTAATTGAATAACCTCTTGGAACTGCAATTAAGAAATGTGGTAACTTGTTTTAAGCACCTGTTTCAAGCATCCCTGAGAGGTGGAGTGGGGTCTTCAGTGTATTCTTCTTCTCCGTCCTCCTCTGGGGCTGTAGGATCTCTGTGTTTTCCCTTTCTATCAAGCAGGAAAAAAGCAAGTACTGATGCAGGATTTTTTGGTTTGATTTTCCAATGAGAAAGGGGAATAGCGACTGTTCTTGAAGGAAGTGCTTGTAGGGATGCTGCACTATTAGTTAACTGTTCCTCCTTTTCTTTCCCCAGAAAAGTTTGTCTAGGAGACCTTATTTATTTGGAAGTCCTTGCTTTTCCCTGAAAAGATTATGGGGCTTGGACCTCTCCCAAAGGAGACTACAATACCACAAATGATCTTAGCCCATGCTAACATAGAACTGTCACTGAATAGAGGGGGCCATTATGGTGTCTTTGTATCTCCTATTTCAAATGCATGTATTTCAATAGCTTGGCTTATAATAAATAATTGGTATCTGAGTTTAGGGGGAGATGTGCCCTGGAGAGTGTAAAAGTGTTCTAGCATTGCTAGTGCTTCTCCTACTGTCAAGCTCTGTACTATTCAGTACTTGTCCTCAAGTTCAGTTCCTCCCATGTGGCAAGACGTAGACAAGTATTTTAATATCCATTTATTGATAAAGGGTACTTTACTGACCTTCCCAAATGAGAGTTGTAGGTTTAGGACAAGAGCTTGAAATCACAAATTCCAGATTTGTGTTCACCAGATCATGCTATATCTTTTTAAAGCCAGTGGCAATGCTAGAATTAAATACATTTTCACCTTTATTTGGTAGGTCTCCCTGCGATTCTCTGAGACTTCTAATAAGGCCAGCAGCAAGTTGCAGTTCCCGGTGTTCTGCAGCTGGAAAAGGTGGTGATGAGTGGTGGTCGTGCTATCAGAAAAGGAGTTTGTTTTTACAGTTTACTGTCTGCTGTAGATCTGGGCTGTCCTGCAGACAAAGCTCACACCCCTTCCTTCTGGAGAAACAAGCACTCTGAGGTTGCTTTTACCACATAATTGGGTTTCTTGCAAAATATTTTCAGCCAGTAGTGTGGTGGCTCAGTTTAATAAGAACCTATAAAAGGAGGTTACTTGGATTTTATTTTCCACTGTGGCTTCAGTTAATTCCATAAACCGTGGGCCCATTTTGAAATGGATCTACCAGATGTTTTCTCTTATTGTGAATACCCACTTCAACCCCTACATATATGCAAACTTTTAATTTATTACAGACTTTCTTTCTGTTTTTTCCCTCTCTTCAGTGAGTGACCTCCAAGAAGAAGGTAAAAATGCTATCAATGCACCAATGAACCCAAGCGCCGTTGACATCCATCCAGAAGACACACTGCTAGGTAAAGTATTCAAGCTACAGACCTCAACTAAGCAATTACTAATGAAGGTGACCACTGTGACCTCTGTATCCATTGCTTTACTGTTGAACGTAGATGGCTCAGTTGAAACTGAGATAATTGGGCATGACAGTTGAGAACTGTTGCATGTGACATGTAGACTATAAATTACGAGGGCTAAAATGGAATTTAAAGAGCAGTTCCAGCTATGTGGATACGCTTAAACTAGGTAGTTGTGGGAAAATTTACTTGTTCAGTGAATTGGCAGAGAACTTCTGGCAGAGTTCTTTTGTGGTCACCCTGAAGGCAAATAGAAAGTTAAGATTTGCAAAGAATTAGGTGGAAAATACTGCTGAATTTGTCTCCTTAAGAGTTACTTCAGTTCCATTAACCTGCTGACTGAGTGGATCTCAGTCTTTCTTTGTCTTGACAGACATCCTTCTTGGTAAGGAAATTGCATCTTGTCTCTGTCTCTTTCTATATATGAAGTGCAAAAGGACCAGCCCGCAGAAAGTCTGTAGCAGAAGTGTGTGTCGTCGTTCCTACGGAACCCATAGACTGCCTCATCTCAACCTACATACTACACTGTTGTTAAATAATGTATGCCATGTTCCTCCTTGGATTACTGCTGCCGCTTTGCAAGTGATAGTACAGCAAAATGCGATCTGATACTGAATGAACAGATCATCATTTGGGCTGCTGAAAATAGTAATTAAATGTGATTAGGATAGAAGTATATAAAACAAGGAATGCTTTATAGAAGGAAGGTAAATATTCAAATTCTTGTTCTCTCCATTCCCTGCCCTACCCAAGTCTCTGAAAGAGCAACAGCATAATTTAATAGCAAAAAGTGTTTAAAACTTGTTGGAATAAAACACTTTTTTTCTTTCCTGGACATATGTCTCTTAATCTGTGGAATTAGCTGAAGCAAGCTGTCATGGAGACAAATAATAAAACAGGAAATTAAAAAAAAAAAGATGTTAGTCATTTAGATTTTCTGATTAGAAGAGTAGTAGGGAATGCAAAGTGCTGTTCTTCTGAGATGTGGGCAAAGTGTTGATTGCTCTGTGTGTATGTATGGATCAGGAGTGTCTCCAATGATTTCTTCTGGGTACCACTAAAGGTGTGTGTGTGACTTTAGAAGATGCAGAACCACTCCTGAAGGCCTGTCATGCCAAAACAGGACCACTGGTGAACCTTAAGCAAAGTTCTGTAGTGAAACATATACCGTTATGGGTCAAATCTTCTTCAGGGTTTTAGTTAGCAGTATTTTGGGTGTGTAGTGGGTGTCACTTCCTTTCGACTAGACTGCCTGACTCATCCCAGGGAGTAATGAGGAAGTAAAGGAACAGGGGGAACAAAAGCAGCAAGAGAATTCATGTTTTTTCCTAGGTTTTTATAGGTTTGTAGAAATTTGTTAAGTACGTTTATATAGGAGGGCCTTATTTTTTTAATAAAGGTTAGGGGCCTTGGAAAATACTGAACCCAAATGTCTGGGTGAAGTCTAAGGTAACCCAGCTAGATGGTTTAGTTTGTCTTGTGTCTAGGACGTGTGAGTGTCATGTTTCCCATCTGAGAGCAGTGAAGTCCAGGACTACAACAGGAAGTCAACTGTAGGTTGGTCATTGTTGCAAAGGGTTCTTCTATGCAATGTGGCAATGGTGTGACCAGTGGTCATACCAAAACCCCTCCTTTGTTGTCACACTGGAAGGAATTGGGAAATCAGTAGGAAAATAGGACTCTGTATGGCATGTCTAGACTCAGCTAAAGGTAAATCCATGGGCTCTATAAATATTTTAGCTGAAGAGATGTGGATCCCCACAGTAGCTGTGACACTGTCGCCCATCCTTTTGTTCCTGTTGTGTAGTAGCCAGGGTTTGTTCTCCACTTAAAGGAACAGATCTAACCTAGATCACAGCTAGCATTTCACTACTAAAGGAGCTAAAATGAAGGATGCAGGGAGGGGTCTGCCACTTGAGAGCAAGCACCAGAATTTAAAATATGAGACTTGCTCCAGCTGCTTCCTAAATACTGTTATCCATATCTACGGTAACATATAAACATGCACGTGTCCCTATGTGCTGTTGTGAAGATAATTCTGCCAAAGGTTTTTTTGGTTATTAACCTTACTGAGCTCAAGTTGGTTTTGCTACCAACATTTCTGTATCAAATCATCCCTTCTAAAAATTAACTTTTGCATTCATGCCTTTTGTGGTTGTCCTGCTGGCTATTGGAGAGCATTTCTCACATCTTTCTACCCCACAGCAGCAGCAGACATACAATACTGTATGCCTGAGAATCCTATTTTATGTTCTTCCCCCATGCAAAGTACAACTGATGTAAACTGGGGTACAGGCACTCAGGGCCGCATGTGTGACCAAGTCTCAGGCAACTGGAGAGCAGAGGCACAAAGTGTCAGCCCAAATCTCAGCTGGGCTGAGTTGCACTGAGTGAAGTGCCATAAGTTCCCTATGCTCTTCAAGATGGTGTAATTTGGGACAGATGGTTTCAAATAGAAATTAAATACAAATTGAGGAGAGGGAGAAAAGTACTTGACTGCACTTTTTGGCATGTTAATCTTCACATGTCTGTCGTGGTTTAGCCCCAGCCAGCAACTAAGCACCATGCAGTCACTCACTTCCCCCACCCCAACCCCATAGTGGGATGGGGGAGAGAATCTGAAAAAAACCCATCTGGGTTGAGATAAACACAGTTTAATAGGACAGCAAAGAAAGTGGAAATAATAATAACATCATAGTAATTAATAATAAAACAATAAAGGAATATACAAAACCAAGTGATGTACAACGCAATAATTGCTCACCACCTGGTGAAAATACCTTCCTGATGTATTCTGCAGGGTCTGAGTTGGGGAAGGTCAGTGGAAACAATCTTACTTTAGGGAAGTTAAGGCTGTGTTATCTTTCTGTGCATCTCTGAAAATGCCTAACACTTTGGTCATCGGATATTCCCTTGCTAAGATGATGACGAGGCATGGTCATTTCTTGATCAGCTGACAGGCCACTTCATGATTAGGAATTATTGCAGTATTTCAGCAGTGTACATTTGAAGTGGATCTAACTAAAGTTTCCCATTTTACTTGGACAGAGGAGAATGAGGAACGCACTATGATTGATCCTAACTCTAAAGAAGACCCCAAGTTCAAAGAACTGATCAAGGTAGGAAATCACTATTTTGTCCTTCAATTTCAATAGTGAGCTGGAGTCACTTACAAGCTGGTTACCAAGAATACAGTTGAGGAATACATCTTGTTACTGAAGTGTAGCTGTGAAAACTGAGGTCATCAACAAGGTAAGGCTAAAAGCAACAAGAGAAGCAAGAAAAGGCTGAATGTCAGTGCTCATGGTAGTTAGGGAGTAAAGCTGCATTGTCTATTTATATCCTTGTGATTATCACAGCAAGGACCAGTACTTAGCTTGAATCTACCTGCAGTCACGGCATGTAGACCTAGGTTCTTTCTGTCTATGGAAACAGCGAAGGAGCTTTGGAAAGCATTAGTGAGATTTCAGGAGAGGAAAGAGTAGGACTGAAATGAGCAAGGGCATGGTAGGAGACAATGAGGAGACCTCTGATATTATAGGAAACTTGGAATTGAGATTCTTCTTGCCCTATATTCTGTTGTTTTTTCTAAAGAAGAAAACTCTTCAGTTTTCCTATGTGCTAGGACAGGGGCCAGATTGTCCTGAACCTGTATTGTCACTGGAGACACCTGCCAAAGGTGTTGATAATGGTGTTCCCAGCTGTGCTGATGTGAGGTGTGATTTTCTGCCTCAGCAGTGCTCATGATGGAGGGTTTGATCTTGAGAGATTAGTGTTTAGGAGAACATTTTCTGTGCGGTAAGTTGTTGAAGTTAATAATGAAAGCTTGAGCAGGGAGAGAAGGGCTGGCAATTCTGAACAAATGTGATCTCTTTCCAAAAAGCATTTGTGCTTGTTTTATACTTCCTGCTACGCTTTGCCTTATTTTAAAATTATTTTTTAAAATTACTTTTGTTAGAAGCAACAATGCATCTGTAGCTGGGTGGATCTTAAAACTCTGGATGGTGTATACTGTCTCCAGGGGGTTAAGCTGTGGCACATTCCTTTCAGGAGATCTTGTGCACCTGGCTGCACACATACCCTTCACAGAATGCCTCAGCAAACTGCTCACCTGGTACATCTTTAAAACAAGCCCAGTGATCTGTTATTAACACTGCAATAACACGTTTAAGCTTACAAAACCACATCAAGCCAAGTTTAGTTAGGAGCTGTGCTTAAATTTCTTTGTTATTCTAATTTACCTGGAATACATTGTGGTTTTAAATTGAGTGAATTTGTTAATTTGTTAATACTGATATCCATTAATTCTCTCAAAAGGTAGAGTAGTCTTGCACCACTTTTTCAAAATGTACTGTGGTTTCTTTGCTAGCGGAGCAGCAATATTACCATGAATAATTCAGTTGAACCAGAGTGCAGTGAAGGAACTAGAAGCACTCTGTGATGCAGGACACTTGATATTGAGATGACAATTGCTTTGAAACTGGTAATTTTGCTGTTGAATTTAGTATGAGTTGGTGAGTCTTCCCTGGATGTCATAGTCTAGCAAGGTTATATTTTCCAGTTTAAAAACCTGAAAAACTTCAGGAGGATTGAAAGTCAGGGATAGAACAGCACTTGAGAATGTACCTGAGTGCATCGCAGAATCAGGCTCTGATTCGCTATGCCAGTTTACACTTGTATGAAGAGAGAGTGGCGTATTACCAACTGAATTGGAGCAGCTGGTGCAGGGCACAGCACGTAACTGGAGATTGTTTCCTTGGGATCATCCTCAAAGGAGAGGTGTGTCCAGTAGAGTGCATACTTGAAAATTATGTAATTTAGTTAATTGCTAATCATTTGCATAACTCTCAGCAGTTGAGAATTTTTAACAGAGATTCAAGTAGAGAAATCTTTAACGCTATGTTGGTGTGAATCTCTAAGGCAGGGAGAGGTTTGAATTGTATGGCAAAACCTATTTTATGCTACAGAGTTTGGATAATGCAAGAAAATAGAATCATTTAGGTTGGAGAAGACTTTGAAGTTCATCAAGTCCAACCGTTAACCTAGCACTGTCAAGCCCATCACTAAACCATGTCCCTAAACACCACGTTTACACATCTTTTAGATACCTCCAGGGATGGTGACTCAACCACTTCCTTGCACAGCCTCTTCCAATGCTTGACAACCCTTTTGGTGAAGAAATTTTTTCTAATATCCCATCTAAACCTCCCCTGGTGCAACCTGAAGCCATTTCCTCTCCTATTGCTTGTTATTTGGGAGAAGAGACTGACACCCACCTCGCTACAACCCCCTTTGAGGTAGTTGTAGAGAGCGATAAGGTCTCCCCTCAGCCTCTTCTTCTCCCGTTCCCAGTTCCCTCAGCTGCTTCTCGTAAGGCTTGTGCTCTAGACCCTTCACCAGCCTCATTGCCCTTCTCTGGACACGCTCCAGCAATTCAATATCGTTCTTGTAGTGAGGGGCCCAAAACTGAACACAGGATTCAAGCTGCGGCCTCACCACTGCCAAGTACAGGGGCACAATCGCTTCCCCGCTCCTGCTGGCCACACTATTTCTGATACAAGCCAGGACGCTGTTGGCCTTCTTGGCCACCTGGGCACACTGCCGGCTCATGTTCAGCCGGCCGTCAACCAGCACCCCCGGTTATTTTTCTGCCAGGCAGCTCTCCAGCCACTCTTCCCCAAGCCTGTAGCGTTGTGTGGGGTTGCTGTGACCCAAGTGCAGGATTCTGCACTTAGCCTTGTTGAACCTCATACAGTTGACCTTGGCCCATTTATTCCTTGTTTTCTGTTCTTCAGTGGTTAGTGGTCACTTTTCCAAGAGCCCCAGTGCTGGATGAGAATTAGCTGTGCTAAGTGCTGTATAGCAGCAGCCAGCAAAAATGACTGACTACCCCACAGAGCTTGAAATGAAAAATCTCCACAGACCAGCAAGGAGCAGGGAGTTGAAAAGATGGAGGTTTTTATAGTTCAAAGTGGTGCTCTTCCCCTCAGAGAGGAATGTGTCAATAGCAGCAACAGATCCTCATGCCTTTTGAAATTTGGCAGTATGACTTGGTTTCATTGGTGCCAGCCCAAATCTCTTTCAACACCAGAGTTAGACATGCCAATGGTTTGCCATCACTGATGTTGAGTGTTTCTGTTCTGTTAGTCCCATGCTGTTGGGTAAATGTGGCTGTGAAAAGAAGCAGCAGAGATATCTGTTGCTGACTCAGCTTTAATATCTCTTTGTCTTCACAAAATGTTGTTTTAATTTCTGCTAGCGTCATGCCATAGGCATTATATGCACAGTGAATTGATCAGTGCAAGCTTGTGTGAGCGTTTGGAAGTGATTTTGACAGAGCTGTTGTAACTCTGGAGAGACAGACTGTATAGCATTGTGGTAACACAAAGAGACCAAAAAACGTAAAAAACTCCATCAAAAAGCCTCTTTCCTCACTCTTATTAAAGCAAGTATACAGTGAAACCCCTTGTTGAAGGCTGCTTAGTTGGGGATGCTAAAATACATGCTTTAAATCCTCTTGCACACATGAAAATCATCAGGAACTAGAATCATGCTTCAAAGTGTTGTTTGCTATCGTCATTGACAGTATTCTAAAAATAGCTGGCCACAATTTGTCAATATGAAGTGTTCAAATAAGTTCTCTCTGTGGCCGGCAGCCGTTTTTTCCTTACTTCATTTGCCGTATGTATAATCAAATACAGTTTGGTACATGGCTGAACAGACCCAAAACTGAAAATTCAGATGAAGGGAGAGATGAGTGTTGATTTTGTTTATATATATGCATAAATAATTTATTCACAAAATACTTTGTTTCAGGTGTCTGAAATGTGTGACCTTCTTTTACTTTTTTTGCCAAGTGACAAGTGTACAACTAAATTAAAGTAAGCATTTGAATTTTAAGTTTGGGCTGTTCTGTGATCGGATACAGAGGTGTCCTGTGATATATTGTTTCTTCATGTTTACTTCAGATATTTGTGATGTTCAAGGTCAGATTTTTCATCTATATATCATTGTGAATCTGTTTAAAATTCAGTTTCCATTAATATCTAAAGTCCCCTTAGTTGATCCATGTCACTAATTCTGAAGAGTATTTGGGGGTTCTTCTAGCTCTCTTCTGAATACTTTAAAAAAAAAAAAGGGGGGGCTGATATATGTGTGCTTCCCTTGTTGTTCATGTGTGTTTGTGTATTGGGTGTAAAGGTGGAAGGAATCTTTTTTTTCCTCCCTTCTGGTTCAGATATGGTTGAAGTATTGAAGTTTCAAAGCCTCCATTGCAGATTGTCTTCCTAAACATAATGAGAATTAATATGCTGTAGGAATTGTCAGAGACTTTGGAAAGATATTTTTTAGCATTTCATAGAAGTGGCGTATTTCCTAGGGTTTTCTCATGTATTTCGGTAGGAAAAGTATGAAGAAGAGCTTCTACTGATTGGATGCAAAATTTTAGAACAGCAGCTTGCAAGAATTGCGTCCTGAAGATGTCTTGCCTTGACAAAAGACAGCAAGTTGCAGTTGCAAGATGTTTTCCCTCCCTGCAAAGATCTTTGCAAGATCAGCTGATACTGGAACAACTTGTGGCCTTCAAAGCCTCATCTAAACTTAATACGAATCCAGACACTGCTGCTGTAGATACTGCCTGAAACGAGTAAACACTCTCATTTGTAGTAAATCATTCACTGTCCTAGAAATTATTACTTCTTCCATGTCTAATTTTATGGGTTTTTTTAAATTCACTGTGGTGAAGAGAAAGCCAAAATGAAGCCACTGTCCTTTTGGTAAGGTTTCACGTGTGACCAGATGAAACTGTGCTTCCTAAATGCTCTGTGGTTTGCTTTTGAAAACAAGAAGCCTTCTCTTTGTTTAGAAGCTACCAGTGCTTTATGCTTAGTCAATAGTTTCCAGGCCTGAATATGAATTTTTCATATTAATTTCCATGCTCAACCCCGAAGTCAGTTAAACTTTCATGCCTTTGATCTCTCCTTCCTAATTCTCGCAGAAGTCGGAGGCAAAAAGGTCATTGAAATCGGGGTTTTCTTTCATTGCTGTTTCTGGTGACTGGGCTTCCTGTTTTCCCATTGTGCCAGATGTGTTAATGTACTTTGTCTTGTTTTTCATTTTGTTCATTGCTATGTAGTGGTGACTGTGGGGTCCTTATGCCCTTGAACTCTGCAGATTAACTCTGAATGTGCCTCACGGCAATGGGAGCAGCCAGCCTGCAGAGCAAACATACTTCACTGAGCTGGTGAGGTTTGATGTAAAAACCCATCTTGCATGAACTAAAAAACCAAATCAGCCAGGCAGACTTGTTTTTCCTTCTAGATTTCTAGCACTCTTGTTTCAGCTGTCTGCCTCATGGCGAATTTCAGTTTCCAGCACAGTGTTTAGTAATGGAACATGGCTTATTTAACCAGACATATGCGTTTGTCCTAAAATGATATGATAAATAGATGTGTCAGGATTTAAAACACAGCTGGAAATTTTATAACTACAGATGCATGCGTCTGAGCGTTTGATGCAGTTCAGAGATGTTTTATATGAGTGTGGATATGCATGAAAGCGCAGACATGGTTTTGAGCACATGAGGATATTGTCTTAAAGTTTTAAAATCACGCTGCTAATCCCAAATACTATAGAAGACTATAGAAAAGCAGCTTTTTATGAAGGCATGACAAGTTAAGTCACTGAAGAAACATTTCCGTGTACCTGCATGCTGTTTTGTGAGTCTCCAAGTACTGAACAAGAAGATGAGTCTCGGGTGCATCAGAGATCATTGGCTACACGTGGGATCTTGTGGTGGCCTCACCAGACGTTGCACGTAAGGCATGGTGTTAGGGCTGACACTGAGAGAACAGGCTTTGCAATAAAACACTTCCTCAATCCTGCAGTGTTTCTCTAACTTAAAAGGCAATAGTGAACTGCAGTTGTATGAAGTGCAGGCACAGAAATGAAGGAATGGGTAAAGGAGTGCGAGACCAGCCAGATCAAAGTTAAGCGTATTTTCATGCACAGGAACAGCTCTCCGGCTGCACCTTCTAAGTACTCTCTGCCTGTATCAAGCTGTTTACATTTTTTAGACAGGTTATTGAATATTTTCTGCTTCTGTCTTTGCATGAAGGAGCAACTACAAAGAACTTGAGACGTGACTTTCTGTGAGCAGAGAGTCAGTATTTTGGAGTGTTAGTCATTTCAGTAAGCAATATGGTGTTTTATTTCCTTTCTAAAAGTTAAAAAAAAAAAAATTCTGTGCAGAAACATTTTCCAGGCTCCTAATTAAGACACAATCAGGAAATCAAGAGGTGGGATAGCAGATTTTTGGGGTTGGTTTGTTTGTTTTTTAATTACAGCACTCGTCAGTCTTTAAGGGCTGCTAAAAGAAAACACACTTAGATTTTTTTTTTCTTGAATATAAGTTGCAAATTCATTTTCTCAAGCAGAGCTGCAGTTGTAGGCTGAATATTAAAGAATTTACAATGTTCTTTGGGATATTTTTCTTTCATTCAGGTGCTGAATTATTAAAATAATAAAATAACTATGGTTAGACCTTGTTTAATTTGTATCTCTTTTATGTATTTTTTTTGCCAAAAGTTTCTCAGTGCTAGATGTCTCTGAAACACTTAAATAGCTCATAGAGTATTTCCCTTTTTTAACACCCTGTACCCAAAGCTGCTTCTTGATTGCTATGTACCTACACTCTTGGAAATGGTATGTTTGCTTCTACATTAGAAGGTACTTCCAGACTTTTATTTTTAATTCCTTGGCATTTTCTATACTCTGAGTTCATTACCATTCAGCACATTACCAGTTCATTACCATTCAACACAGGAAAGACAAAAAAAAATTAATTACAGGTTTCAAGTAGTTCAGCATCCTGAGTTTTCCTTTAACAAAGCTTCTGGGGACTTCTGGAAATCTGGCCTCTTCCTATAGGGACTGTAATGGGATCCAATTATCAAATGATAATCTAAGCTGAATTTCAGATGATTTTTGAAAGTCTACTCTGTAAATCTCATGGACAACTCAGATGTTCTATGACTTTGATTTCTTCTGTTTTTCTATTGATGTCTATGCATGTCAAACATATCATTTTGGAATTGGGCAGTCATCTTATTGACAGGCTTCAAAACTCTTTTTCTAGATGATCTGTGACAAGAAAGTGTCTTGTTATTTAGGAGTCACTTTTCTGTATCACAGGTGAACAGGTTTTGAAGCCAGAGACGGTATCGTTCTTCTCATTGCCTTCCAGCTGTGGTAATCCTTTGCTAACTTGTTTAATGTCTTTCTCCAGTCCTTTACCATAAATGTCTTTCTATCCCCTCAAAAAATTTGAGAGACAAGAATAGCTGATTGGAGTTTTCTCTCCAAATGTGGTCATGGTTCGCCACCTGCGGAGCAGAGCTCTGCTAAAGGTTTTATTTAGGCTGCATCTTCTTGCATTTAACTTTTGCTGGCGGTAATCTCTGGTGAGCTAATTTTGGTTGGGGTTTTCAACAGAAATCCAGAGGTTTGATGTCCTGTGTCTGATGGTGGCTGACATGTATGAAAATCCTAGCTTTAAATCTAGAGGCGAAAGGCTGGGCAGGGACAGTTTACCTGATCCAGAGGCTGCTGAAGAAGCATCCTGACAGCTGCTAGAGGGTGAAACGCAGGAAGAGCAATTGTCTGGACATTTTTCTTCCTGCCCCTATATGATGTAGGTATCAGGACGTGTGACAAAGGAGCGAGATGGTTTCCAGGGCATGCTGGAGCATGTGTCAGGAGACAAGCTTCCCATCATTTCTCCCATGACCCCAGCAAAAGTGTGAGGATGACAGCACCTTCCAGGGCACGGTGCTGCCATACCCGTTTCAATCCAGGACCCCAAGCTCCAGTGGTGGCCGCTGTGCCAGCAGGCTGGGCTGCTCTGGCAGAAGTACGGTTGTCCATTCATTGGCAGTGCGAGCCATGAAGGTGCTGCAGCAGGGCAGCATGAGGCAGGGGAAGGAGAGGGAGAAACTCTTATGATCCTCTTGCCCAACAAATGGCATTAGGTGGATGTAGGAGTGTGGACCTTGGCTGTATGTGTTGAAACGGTGGTGGTAGCTGTAACTGCACAGCAGAGGCCATCTGATAGAGGGGATGGCCCAGGTGATGGAAGAGGTTCCTGCAAGGTCACAGAGGCGCAGTGGGGCAACAGTACTGGTTCAGACCACATCCTTGTATATCCACGTCGGTTTTCAAATGTCGCCTCCACCTTTCCTTTACCTGCTTTAGAGAAGACCACTTTTGATTCAAGTTGCTGATCTTGACTAGTGAATAACTTACCAGAAAAGCTTTATTTTGAAAGAAAGCTCTTTGGAGGAGTAAATTCTATTATTGAGATTTTTCATCCCTCTGGGAAGCATAGAGGGCAAAAGTGATTTACATATGTAAGCGTTGATGCTGATCCTTGCTTTCCATAAATTGTCTGGTTGCCATATTGCCCAGCTAAAGTTTGCTACTTACACTATTTTTAGAGCTGAGTTTCAGCCCTGCATATTTTCAGCAGGCTTTGGAAGTACTGAAGATATAGATTAGAGGTACACGACACCTTAGTATTTCATGTTGGGGTTGTAAACTTCTTCATTGACACAAAGCCTAGCAAAACTTCCCTGAGGTTAAGTAGATTCAATGAACCTCAGTAGCCAGGCTGAATTGCTTAAATAACATTCAAATGCTTATGTGGCCTTGGATTGCCAATGTGTGTGTTTTCCAGTGCAAGCCTGTCTATATTTTATTTGCTTTTTATTTCACAATCTCTTGCATGTTAAAAAAGAAAAAATGTCTTAGCCATCATGACTGCCAAGAAGAGGCAGAAGTGTGGGATTTAATCAGAAAGTGAATTAAAGAATCCATAATTTTATATGAAGTGAATTTAAAAATGCAGATTTTTTAAATGAGGCTCGTTTCTTAGGTAGCTCCAGTTACTGGATTTTGCATGTCTATGATTGGCAATACTCTTCTCCCTTTATAGAATCAAGGATTTACATCTCTTCCCACAGAACTATATTATTTTTGTGAAAGTAATTTAATTTTCCAAATAATAAATGGGAGGAAAACACACTGCCAACTTCAAACAGTTAAGGCTGTTTTTCCTGTAACTGTTTGGAAATTATTATCTTTGGCACCTGGAAAACGTAACTCAGTTCCTTTTGTTTTTAAAGGTTCTTTCTGTTCATTCCTGTTTTGCAGTTGAATGAACGGTATAGTTACAGTAGTCAGCATATGGGGGCTATTATATATATATTGTAGAATGGTTATCAGGCCTAGTTGACCAAAATTTTAATTCCAGACTTCTGCATTCTGCAATACCTTGGGATAAAATGCCTTGTCCTGTTGCTAATGGCAGGGATCTAGCTAGTGGGTCTGTTGAGCTCCTGTTAGTAGGAGCATTCAGTCTTTTTCCTCTGAAGCTCCTCTTTCTGGCGCACCACTCACATCTATTCAGGATAGAGATCATGGGACTATTGTCCCAGACTACTGGCAGGTCTGCTGTTCACATAGAACAGGTAAGACTTGAGTTCTGGGACCTGGAGAACATAGATACTAGGAAAGATGATTGTTACAGAGCTGCTAGTTGCTACTTGCTTTAGAATTGATGAAATAAGGAGACATTTTAATGAGGAAAAATAGAGGGCACTAAAATTGCCATACCGTAAGACCTGAATTAAAAACAGTAAGAGTAAAAACATCTCTTTGTCTGTTATTTCTCTGTAACTTGGAAACACATAAATATGGTTACTCTTGCTCTGTTTTATATTCCTGATTACTGCCTTCAATGGAAGAAATATATTTCAGTGGTTTTTAGACGTTTGCCTTCTTTTTCTGTATTTGCAGGTTCTAATTGACTGGATTAATGATGTGCTTGTGGAGGAGAGAATTATTGTCAAACAGCTTGAAGAGGACCTTTATGATGGTCAGGTGCTGCAAAAGCTGCTTGGTGAGTTCACATTAGAGAAGAATGCCCCAAAGACTGAAAGGGGCCCCAAAATAATGTCTTCCAAACATGCAGACAACAGCAAGTCTGTGCAATAACTCACCATCTCACCAGGGATACAGTTTGTTTCACTAATGGCTACAGTGTCAGCTTCTCCATCTGTTCTTCTCAGGCTGTCTGCTGAAAGGGGAGGAGATCCAGATGATTCCTAGGTATCTGTTTCATGGACTAAGACTAGTCCAGACAGCTGAAATATGTGTCAGAAAAAAGGTGAAGAGATTTGTGTTTATAGCGGGGGACCAAGCAGAAGCCAGGTGGTCCAAAATTTTGTCTGTATAGTTTGCTTCTGACAGCTTTTTGGGCTGAGAGCTTTCTTGAGGTCCTGATAGAATTACTTGTAAGAGAAAAAAATGAGAAAAAGAGAACACGTGGCCGCAGGTACATACTCATAATGTGCACTTTTGTGCAAATGATTCATGAAAGGATAAACTCAGTTAAGCAATTGTGATTTTGCAACCCCCTTACATCTTTGCAATGTGTGTGTTCATGCAAGAAGCACAATGGAGAAAACTGTCTAATTGATGTTGCAGTGATTTAACGGGAGTGCTTTTAGCAAACAGAGAGTCTTGAAGCTTCAAGTGCCATTGTAAATCCACCCTGTTTCTTGGAGACAGATAGTCAGACTGCTCTCAGTTTACTTCTGACATGTTTTCAAGAGTGGCCTGGAATGCGGCATGTGTGTGTCAGAGTGGGGCAAGAGGACTTAGTGGTGCTAATTCCACTGGTGCTAATGGATGCTGCTTGCCGAATTTTCTGCATATACTCCTTAAAAAATAGACCTGCTACGTTTTGGTGAACATCCACAAGCTTCTAAAATTGGTTAACCACAGTTACTTTGTGTGCAATTGAAAGTCCTCAAAAATGACTTGAGGAATAAAAAAAGAGTACTTTTAACACTGCTTAATTAGACTACAGTTGGGACCCTCCAGACATGGTGGGGAGCAAGGGTGTAGAGTTAATTTTAGCTGAGGAGTTATTTGTGTGAATACAGTTATACTTCTTTACATATAGACACTGCTGTTTCAGCAGGCGGTAGCACATTTCCCAGTAGTCGTTTGTCATAGGTATCACTGGTTTCTTATGTTCCTTATGGAGAGTTCCACTGTCAGGCCTGCAGATGTTTAGAAGGTGCTTGGTTGTACATACACACATATACATGCAGCTTAGCTGGACTTAGCGTATCTGACAGGAGGAAAGGTGGGCATGTACATCTTGCAGCCGGAGACTTCAAATGGACTGCTTTTTCCTCATTTTCTTCCTGTTGGGCCTCTGACTGGAGAACAAATGCCTCTCCCCTGACCTGAAGCTATCACAACTCAGCCGCAGTCTTGTGTTCACCACCTCAGTTCTTCAGTGGTGTCTTGGTTTATTCAGCAAGACTTATATTATTGAATCTTCCATCTTCATGCTGTCTCATTGATGCAAGAGGCAAAGCACATCACGCTTGTGGTGGTGCTCCTGATGCTTGAGGCCTCAGAATTAAGTCATCTCTCTGTTGTGCAAGTAGTCTTTTCTTTTGCCTGTAGGAAAGGCTAACAAAGTAGGGTCATTAAACTTCAAGTAGTAGTTACCATTCCTTGTGTGTGAGAGATGTTTCAAGAAGATCTGTCTTGATAGGCAGACACAAAAAAAGATGAAAGACTACAGCTTGTCAGTGGGCTTATTGTGAAATAGTTTGGCGTAAGAGAGTAGCAAATGGCTATCTCACTGACTGAGGTGGGCTCCTTGTTTAGTTAATTTTATCAAGGTGCAAGTAGTGCGACTGAGAGAGGCTGGAGTGGCTTGGCACACATGGTATCAGGGTGAAAGGAAATAAACTTCTGCTTGCTGACTGGCAGCTAACCTGGGCTGAGAATAGATAGAAGCCATAACACATGACTAAAAAATGAATCTTATAGGAGATTTTTTTTAAAAAGATCTAAAATAATTTAACAATATTTGCATGTTTTAGTAGTCAGTTTAAAAAATTTGTAGAGACATCTTGGCTAAAGATCATTTTTCCTATTATTCAGATATTGATAAGAATGTCCTACTGTAGATCGACAGAAAAAGTGAAAACCACTCCTGCTCTCCTAGTCCCAACAGCAGAGTGAGTTTGACTGCTTTTTCTACAGAGTAGAGGCAGAAAAAGAGATCAGCAATTCCCATTGCTCTGGTGGCTGGAGAACTCTGCCTTACCTACCTTAGCTCTCTTTTTTTTGAGAGATAAACATTCAGCTCCTGTGTCTTTGGCAAGGGCCATAATGCAGAGGAAGAGAAGAATGACTTGTCTATGACTTTGGCAACAAATAATTATATTACAGAAACAGAATCCACATTTTATTAATAGCATTTTACAAAATCTCCTGCATTAGTTCATTTTTGTAAGTAGTCAGCCATGATGTGACAATGCCATAACTACATGACAAGATTGTACCAACTTTATACTTTCTTTAAGCCAGTACAAATCTGTGGGTCATATGAGTCCGTGACTCTCAATGGTTTGAGGCGGCAAAGTTTGCTTTAGCTACCTTCAGCTAACCTGAAATAAGGCTTATCAAGCTGAAGTAAATGTGCACACAATATTTCCCTTTTTTTGTCCTAAATTAACTTGTTACTTGAAAAATTCATTAAACCTGTGCAGATTACTTGTGTAGTGTAGGCTGTGTTGTGACAAATGCTTTTCAGCAGTGAAAGAAAATGGGAGGCACAATAAATGCTATTACTTACTTGGTGTTTATCTGAAAGTTGTTATATAGTGACACATGATTGATGAACATGTTCTGGGAGACCTTACCAGTTTTCTATCACAGATTTTATTGGAATTGACACACTTGGATGAAAGGTTTGCTTTCAGCTGTTTTAGTTTCTGAGGAAAATCATTCAGTTGGAAAATCGCTAGCAGAGTCCAGCTCTGCCCAGTGCTTTGTGCTCGTTATTCCCACTCAGACCCTTGTTTAACCTGATTTTGCCTGTTCTTTTTGTTGCTCTTTTTTTCAAATACAGAAAAATTGGCTGACCGTAAGCTCAACGTGGCAGAAGTGACGCAATCTGAAATTGGTCAGAAACAAAAGTTGCAGACAGTCCTGGAAGCTGTCCATGATTTACTCCGACCCCATGGCTGGACAATCAAGTGGAACGTTGACTGTAAGGGCTCTGTTATGCTTCCTGTCTCAGCTTCATGGGCAAGGAGGGTATGATAACCAATAGGTTGATCATAGTCTCTGTGATGCAGTTTGTTTTTAAAAATTATTTATGAATTTGCGTAGAGGGTGTTACCACATCCATGTATGGATTGGAACTGGTACCTTCTTCTGTGGTCTTTGTTTAAGGACAGATGTACATGGCTGTGGGATAATTGAAGTTGTTTGCTCCTTTAAGGGTATGCTTTCATTAGAAAGTTTTTTGTTTGCTTCCTGAATTTGAATCCCTCAGATTTGAGAAATGTATTAGTCATTCAAGTACTAGAGGGTGGTCTAATCCTTCAGGCCACGACAGTGAGAGTAAAAGGATCCTGCATCCTGCTGGAGGATGCAGCTTCTGACAGGCCAAGCAGAAAGTGCCCTCTGTTCAAGCATGGCCTGTTACAATCTGAGAGTGAGGATGGTAGTGGGTGGGGTTCATCTCTTACAGCCAGGAAGGCTTGTGTTTGCACTTTGGAAGTCTGCTAAAAGGAGAATTCTCCAGTACAGTGGAAGGCAAGTGATTGAGTCTGTCTGTCTTCATTGACTAGAGAGGGAGCTGAAGTGTTTGGACTCCTAAGTTAGATGTGTAACTTAAAGGGAGGGTTGAGTTTAGGCTTTGCTACCTATAAAATGATATTGTAGGTCATGTTAATTTAGGAAAAAGTGGAAGAAGGATAAAAAGAAAAAAGACTGTGTTCACCAAAGGCATTTTTTTCACTGCCTTTTTCCCAGAGCTGTTTGTTTAAAATAAGGCCTCAGTATTCTTCTATTTGCGTCATTTTCCTTGTTCCCTGCAGCAATCCATGGCAAGAATCTGATTTCCATCCTTCACCTTCTGGTAGCTTTGGCAATGCATTTCCGGGCTCCCATTCGACTCCCTGAACATGTGTCCGTACAAGTGGTAGTTGTACGGGTGAGTACGAACTCATAAGAGAAATTGATCAGAACAATCATTGTTTATCACTCTGGTTTTGCAGTACTGGGCGGCTCCCATCCATTGTCCCCCCGATCTCTTGTCATTTAGAAAATTCTTGTCCCATTTGTTTAGTGAGTCCCAGCCCTGGGAATGTGTTTTTGGTGTGCTTAAATGTGATCCCAATAATATGTTTGGGACCACCAGTTGCTACTGCAATATCAAGCTAAAAATATCTGATGGGATTTTGTATAAGGGAGAGTTGTGTCTGTAGTTTCTGGCACTTTAGTAAATGTTTTTTTTCCATGCATTTTTTGTAGAGAAGCCATTGAAACACAAACAGCAAAGAAAGGATTTTCAGCACGTAGAATCTCCCTAGTCTGGGAAGCCTGTTACTGATGTTGTTTTTCCCCAATGACTTATTATGCAGACTTAGACATGTTGTTTTCCTTGGCTTGCTAATAGACATTCATCATTTCTTTCACAGCCTTGTGTTTTTGTTAGCTTTCCTTAGATATGGAGAGGAGATCTGACCTGAGGAACCCTGATGTCTTCCCTCCTGCCCTAGATATTGCTGTAGTTATTCCTTTCTCTACTTGGTGTTGACCATTTCCTTTCACTCTGCAAAAACTCTACTTTCAGAGCATATGTACTCTTGCTTGTTATCTCACCTTCTATCCCAGCTGAAGCTCCTGTGGCAGTACAGTCTGTGGCATGTGAACCCAACTTTTCTCTACAGCTGTTGAAACACTGGGCAGAGCTGTTCCAGCTGGCACTCTGGTCATGCCGTGACGGTTTGCTGTGGTGCTCAGCGCTGTTGTTGCAAGGCAGGCTCAGCTGCCGGCAGCAGGCTGTGGAAGTGCTTTCTGTATGTGCCATTTACTGTTAGAGCAGTCAGGCTGTAGTAGGTTTCCTTTCAAGAATAAAGAAGATAAAGTGATCTCGGATTCTGTTTTGCAGATGTGGATCCCCTTACAGGATGTGATTGCTTGGTGGTTGATTAGGCAAGCCTCATTTTGCTTTACTTTAATAATGGCATTTTCCAGGCTGCCTGCCTGAATGCTCTAGAGGTACAGGGTGTGATGTAAATGAGCAATTGATGGATACTCCCTGGCTCACAATAAATGTACATATTATCTTTAGGAGGTGATTTTGAACTGCTTTCAGGCTGCTGTAGTTCTTTCATTTTAAGAAGGGTGAGTTAGGTATAAAGTAACATAAACATAAATAGGAGACTAATTTATTTTTATATTTCTTTTGACCTTCTTGGAAAGGTAAGGGGGAAAATGTAAATATAAGGTGGTCAACAGTTCTCTGACACCCTGATGCTAGAAATCTCCTTCTGCCCAGTGCAGTGAAGTGTGTTCTGTAAGTGGTAAGTCCAAAAAACAACTTGGGTAAAGAGGTAAAGCCTCCCTTTCCTGGTCCTTAGTTCAAGCTTCAGGACCCTCCGCCTCTGTAGCAGAGGGAGGACTCTGGAGAAGGTGTTTTCATATCTTTTCCTGTTGGGGGGATATAGAGAAGACACCTACCGAGAGCACCTGGTTCCCCAGAGTCCCTGCATCTTGAGACTAGGCAAAGCTGAGGTGAAGACATGATGAGATAAAGGCTGACAGAAACTAGGGAA